AAACAAAGTGAAATCCATATCCGTTTCCCTTCAATATTGACAACACAGGTGACCTGCAGAAGAGGTTGGTACCCTTTGCCACAGAGCTGCATGTGTGCCTGGTATAGGACTCAAAAAAAGCTGCTGGAAGAGATTTGGAAGAAAATGGATGAGCTGTTCTGCACAGCAAAAGAAATAATCAACACAGTGAACAGAAAACTTATAAAATGGGAGAAAATGTTTGCAAATTATGCCTTAGATACAATTACCACCTGTGAGCTGCCAGCATCTTCCACCTGTATCCAGAATCTATAAGGAATTTAAATAGCTCAACAAAAAAAATGGCCCCATCAAAAAGTGAGCAAAGTACATGAATAGATACTTCCCAAAACAAGACACATAAGTGACTGACAAACATATGAAAAAATGCTCAACATCACTAATCATCAGAGAAATGCACATTAAAACAACAATGAGATATGACCTTATACCAGTCAGAATGTTTATAATTAAAAAGTAAAAGAACAAAATGTGGTGCAGTTGCAGAGAAAAGGGAATGCTTGAACACTGTTGGTAGGATTATAAACTTGTTCAATTCTATGGAAAACAGTGTGGTGATTTCTCAAAGAACTAAAAAATTGAATCGCCATGCAAACCAGCAATCCCACTACTAAGGATCTACCCAAAGGATGGAGGTTATGGTTCAGATATTAACTATTGGGTATCTGAGAAATGGTCTCCCCTGAGACCCAATTCCCACCACCACACTATATGTTCATGTAACAAATGTGCACTTGTTCCTGCTAAATCTAAAACTTAAAAAGTGAAGGAGTTGTAATTCCACTTGCTGTTCAATGTTAATAAAGTTGCCAGGAAATCACTGCAAGATATAGCAGTGCCTGTTACCCTCCACAGAAGTGACTACTGCTTCACATTTACCGCTGCACCTTCTTGATGGTGACACTATTTCTCCAAGATTCTTCCATGTAGATGGTATGACTTTTGGTTTACTATTTTGGTGAAGAATAGTATTTCTACTTTGTCTTTCTTACCACAGTAGATCTCACTCCATGGGCCAGGGAACCAACATGGGAATTCTTTAAGTTGTTGAGCATTTTAATTATGCATTCTGGACCCAGGTAAATAACCACAGTGTGGTTTGAGGACTCACTGAACCCACCCTGCAACAGAGCTTAGCCAAAACTTCACTGATCATCTAATGTCCATAAGTGTCTACTCTTGGTGGACCACAATGCAATGCTGAGTCTTCAGGAATTAGTGCCAGTTCAGGGCCAACGTCCAACTATTTCTGTTCCTCAATCCCCAGTCACCCTGACAAATGAATGCAGGTTCCTATGGTGAAAGCTAAAGGGAATGATTACAATACAAATTTTTGGCTGTTTCACCTGGGCACCATGAATGTACCCATTCATCCAAGGGACCCCAAGTCTGTAAACTGGCTCAGGTCTGGCAATTGAGGGGTCACATCTCTGTTACCATAATTCAAGTCAAATTTCTGTTCACAGGTGAGAAATCTTCTTGCTTATAGGCATCAAGTGAGACTTTACAAGGTTGCCCACTTATTTAAGTCCTAGGAACAAGAGTCAATTAGCTTACACTGAAGACCTGTCTAGGTCAAACCATTATTATTGCCTCTACTTTGCTGCTCAGTGTCACAACCTTTCCTTCCTCATCTCAAGCAATTCAGTGCCTCTACTGAGCCCCTACCATCCTGGGATCCCGTTTCCCCATTGAATTTAGGAAGTCTAGTTCAAAGACAGCAGTTCCCATGTCATTCCTGGTCTATTGACAACAGTTACCACAGAGATTTTCAAGGATGCCCTCATGAATATATTTCTTGCTGCCTTGTTAAAAAGAGTATCTTCTCAACTCTCCTGTGCACATAGTTAGGGGTGGGTGAACGTATTTTACATGGTAAATCTATTTTATCATTCGTATCATCTTAATCCTCTGGGTAGTGTTCCTTACAGTGTAGCAAGAAATTTTTGGCATTTCAATTTCATTTTGTCTAGGATACTATGGGTACACATTTCAGCCAATCAACAAGCATACTGTTAGAGCCACTTCCTGTATCTTGAACTAGTATACTAAATTCAGAATCTCTGCATTGTGCACTCACATCAACAGATGTGACCAGATCAAAATTATATCCCTTCCACCCTGATCCAACACTTCAGGATACATTCTCATAAATGTTTTCAGGTTTCATCAATAAAACGGGCGAACTTGGAATTCTTTTTGTGTCCACTGCACTTCCTTGTGGGTCACACTTTGTGTCTTACTCCCTGAGGCCTGCCAGGACTCAGTTTGATTATAGAGTCCCCCCCAAAACCAATAGAGGTGAGTCCTTAGGAGGACCAAGAGCCTCTAGCAAGGCACCTATCCCAGGGGACAACATGGAAGATTCTCTGGGCAAGGGGAGGCTAACCTCCTCAGATGGAGAAGAACCTAGTATTTTTTAAAATGCTGAGACAAGATTTTTGACAGTTCAAAGAGAGTTCAGGGATACTTTGGTAATAACATATTGAACAAACAAGAAAAATTCCTAATTCCAATGGAGACAAAAAATTGTGCAAGAAAAGAAAAAAACATTTATTGTTAACTGCATAACTCAATCATTAATAAAGCTTATGTCATCATTACAGTGTAAATACTGGATATTGATCTTTCAAAAGTACAACATAGCTAAATGGGGAGGTGCTAGAATGTCATTAGAAGCCAAAGGAGTCATGTGTAAGAAAAAGAGCTACCTCGTTTTTCACAATAGGAAGCAAAAAATAACACGTAAGATGAAAAAATAGAGTATCAATATAACCATATCAACCAGAGTTATTTAACTATACAGCAAAAAAAATGGTTAAAGATTTGAATGTTCCTCTGCACAGGAGAAATCAAGAGAATCCAACCACTGGGAAGCTGAAATTTTTTATATTTTACCCTTCAACAATTTGTTCTCATTTAATTTTTCTAAAGTTGACACTGGGCATCAATATTTTTAAAGAGCATCCCCCTGGTTTTAACATGCAGGTGGCTTTAAACTAGATACAAGCATAGTAAAATATTTTAAATATGCCATTTCTCCTAGAGTTAGACTTGGATATTCTACCAGAATAGATGGTTAGGGGAAATTTGTAAGTTACCCTTTAAGGGTTGCCTTCATAAGAGGATCCCATCTACTTGCAGACTCTAATCAACACGTCTCTCCTGTGCTCACACATGTGGATGATCTGGGCTCAGCATGAAGAACAAACAACCAAGATGAGGATACACACACTGGCTGCAAGAGGATGACTCTCTTAAATGAGATGAGAAATATATAGAAAAGGCCATAGCATTCCTTGCATAGAGATGTATGCCTTTAGAGATATGCTCATAGAGGGTTCTATCATCACAAGGGGAAAAACAATATACTATTTCTCAGGGCATTTGGAAAACCATTCTCAAAAATGGTAGCATTTTGCCTGAAAATACAAATATGTCTAAAATACATTAAAATGGAGGAAGAGGAAGAACATTTGCAAATACATTTTTAGTAAAGGCCCCAACCTGGGAAAATATATTAACGTGTGTATCCACAGTGATAAAACAACAATCAGATTAATGGGGCGAGGGTGGGAGAATGGGTAACGGTTGACTTAAAACCAAACTACTAAGAAAGACATCCCTTCTTTTCATTTTTTCACAAGGTAAATGGTCCTGAACAATATCATCACATTATACAGTGGCCTGTTTTCCAACAGGAATTGATATGATACGATTTTGGTAATATTTTAAAATTACATTCAAATGTTATTTGACCATGACTGTTATGCCTCTCTCCTTGAAATTTTTAGATGCTGTTTCAGCAAAACATTGGCCCACACTTTTAAGATAAATTATCTAAAATATCCTTAGGTCTTAATGGAAAAGAACTTATTCGAAAAGGGATTTTTGCTTCCATAACACAGGCCTTGTTAAGTGATATTATAGATCCCTGCACATGGTTTGTGGTTCATTATCAGAGAAAAAGATTCAGAAATAAAGTGAATTTTAAGCATGTTATCATTCTGAAAGTACTTTCAGAGGGTCCCACTTGGAAACAACCTCTGCTGAGGTCTTGTGCTGGCCAGTCCTCACAATCTGGCATGCCTCAGGGGCACATGGCCCTCATAGTCCAGCAAAGAAATGTCCCCTGTTGGGTTTAAAGTGATTTTTAGGGAAATGCAGCAAAGTCCCCCTCTTGATATCTCCTTTACTTCCAATCACGATGTATAATAAGCCATCATTGCAGTTTAATGCTTCCTTGGGACTTAAACTTTTTGCACGGAGTATTAGAACTAGAATACTCCGTAGTCCAGAGGTTCTCAAACTTGAAAAAGATAAGTGCTACCTGGAAGAATGTTTGTTTGGGATGTAGATTTCTGGGCTCCTTTCCAACCCCACTGAGAATCAAAATCTCTGAGGCTGATGTTGGGGCTGTGGAGAGGACTGCGACCTGTATTTGTTGACAAGCTCCCTGGTACACCCTGATGTTGCCTGCTCAGCATCTATCTCAGAATATTGTAGAACCAGGCAACCCCCTCGGGTCCCATCTCACTATGAGAGCTTTTCTGTCTTCTCAATAAATTCTGCTTTTAAAAATAATAATAATATTGTAGAACCTCAATTCCTTCCTTATACAAATGAGGAACCTGAAACCCAGAAGTGTCACTTGACTAGGACATTACTGTCTGGTTACTTTGTGTCAGACTCCAGATTTCTCATTTCCCAACAAGGATGCCCTATCCCTGGGCTTCCCTTTTCAATATTCAAAGTCCCTATTCAATTAGAATGCCCGTTGGAAGAGTCTAACCTGAAGCTGAGACAGGAGGCATCTGGGAATAAAGTTCCAAAAGTACAACCCTTGTCTTTTTGTAGTTTCCTTCACTTGCAGGATGGGCTCAGAATGACTAGCAGCATGGTGCCCCCAGGTTATGGTTCAGGACCCTGAGTCACCTGGAGTCTCCCTCAGCACAGCGACAATGACGGTGGCTTCCAGAAGCCATGTGACAAACTGCTCCACTGCAGGTGGGCATCAGAGCAACCAATGTGCCAACATCTGGGTTTCCTGAACTTCTCCATACAGGTAAAGTTGGGGGACTCTTAGCCACAATGTATAAGCCAGAGCCTCTGAGGCTTCCTGTGAGAGATCTAGTCATCTGCCAGTCTGAGAACTCTTTAGACAGAAGCTGCTTAATGATTTTAGTAGCTCTGCTTCAGCTTAACCAAAGAGCATCTAGAGAAGGGTTGGACTTTCTCGTTAGGAGGGTGGGTTGAATGATTGCCCAAAGGGGTGTTAAGTAGCATAAGAAAGACATGCTGCTTCTCTGTATACAACTGTCAGCTGCAAGAGAGGCCCCTTGAGTTGTTTTCCCAGAAGTAAAGGGCTCACTATGGATCCTTTCATAGTGTCCCCCTCAATATCTTCTTTATTTTGAAGGCAGAATTTATTGAATGGACAGAAAAGCTCCCACAGTGGGAGGGGACCCGAGGGGGTTGCCCTCTTTTTTTTTTTTTTAAAGAGTACACACTTCATTGTTTCAGCTATGCATAATTCAAGAAAATGTTCATTAAGATTTATTGCTTTGTTATGTAATTATTAAAAATTCAATTTCCTTGAGCCTCAGTTTTCTTATTTCCAAAGGAAAAGTGAGATAATAAATCCTTCTGAGCTGGGCTCGGTAGCTCAGCCTGTAATCCCAGCACTTTGGGAGGCTGAGGTGAGTGGATTGCCTGAGCCCGCGGGTTCGAGACCCACCTGGGCAGCGAGACCTCATCTCTACAATAAATCAAAAAAATCAG